TCCATTATAGTATTATTGGATCACAGCCATATATATAGTCTGTCCTTGACCAAAATGTCATGATGTGGCTCACAATTGAACTATCCATGTTATTTGTGGTAACATGAAGCTATTTATTGCAGAAAACTCATGAGTTTGATATGTAAAGCCTCACTTTTTCCTACAAAATAAGGATTCACAGATAGAGTATAAAAGATTGGTGTGATTGTACCATAATTATCAGTGATTTGGGCTCCTTCATCCTGATTAACCAGCCTCAAAGTACAGGTATATCTTCTATGTCACTATTTGTCCCAAGGTGGCTTCCAGAACTCCTTTTCTCATATCTGTTCTTCAGGCTGCAGAAAAACTTGATGGGTAAGTCCTGCTACATCTAGTTGAAACATCTTCTGTACAGATTTCCCAGAAGTCCTATATAATACAACTTACATTTTATTAGCTAGTAAATAGAGACAACATGTTCACACAAGGAAGGTTGAGAAATATAGGATTTTTAACTAAGTTAATTTTGAAGAGAGTAGTTACTATGGAGACAAGCATATTCCTTATTATCATTCTTTCTAGAGTAACAAGAATGACCTTTTTCTTTGTGTTCTTAATTACCCTTGATAATTTATTCTGGTTTATTAGTTTTTCTCATTGTTCCCGTCTGCTCCACTACTCCTTTCTGGAATATAGTCTTTCACTAAGTTATTCTGTCTTTTCAGGCTTCCCTGAGACTTGCCAGTTCTTACACTTTTCCTTTTGATGGCCTTGGAAGATGCGGGGAGTACTGATGTGGCAGTCCCAAAATGTTCTTGCACTTGGACTTGTTTGGAGTCTTGTGTTTGGGCTAGGAAGATGACAGAAGAAAGTACAATTCTCAACATATCACATCCAAGTCTCCACATTAACATCAATGGTAACTTTGCTCCCCTGATGAAGGTAAAGCTGGTGGGCTTCTTTCCTGGGAAGTTATTTCTCCAATGTTGGACTGTATTTTGGGAGAGCAAATCACTAAGTGTCCTAAAGGATGTGTTAGCTTTTTGAAGGGAAGCACCCACCTAAATTATTTGAAACAGAAATAGAAATTTGGGAAGTTGTCTCTATTTCATTTATTTATTTATACTGATAAGCACCCACGTATATTATTTCATACTTTGGATGGTCACTCCATACTACTATATTTGTTTTGTCACTCAAGTGTTTTCAATTTTGGCTACTGGAAAATCTATCACTAAGATCTCAATATCTCATCTTTTGCATAGGCTGGTTTAGAAATGCGATCTTCCCCATCTTGACTTGCCAGGGAGTGTAACTATAGGCATCTCCTGTGTCCATTTTACCTTTACTTATTAATTTGCTTATTAGCATTCCCTTCCTTTCTGGCACTACAAAATAGCCTTGTCTCATCTGCTGTCATCTTTACCTCAGCCCTAGGAATAGCTGCTGTTTCCCCAAGGAATTCCCAGTCCTTTACTTCACCCAGGGATGGGAACTCCAGGAAAGGGCTTCCAGAGGCTCATGATAACTGGGATATATTTGTTTCTTGGCCTCTTAAGAATCCTAGGTACCCCTGTACAAACTCAGAAATACATATTTTTATACTAAAACTATAGAAATACACACATTTACCCTGTGTCTTACATATACTTTTACCTGATTTGGGGCGGAAAGGAATAACAAAATGGTGAAATAAGGACACAGGGTGACCCAATGCAGTATTGATACTCACAAGACACTATGTTGGAAATTAACTTTACAATGTCGAAGTGAGGGGAGTGGAAGAGGAAAGGGATAGTGGGAGAAAAGCAGAGTGGGTAACGATGTTCAACAAGAAATATACTCATTACCTTACTTATGTAACTGTGACCGCTCTATATAGCTCCATTACAAACAAATAAACAACAACAACAATAATATTAATAATAAATACACACCATTCATACTTGGTAGACACACACAGCTGTATTTAAAATTATTAAACCTAACAAATTCACATTGAGGTCACTATTTTCTCATCACTTGTTCTAGCCTTCCCCCTTCCTTGTTTCTACAATATTATCTTCTAAACATATAATTTAAAAAGTTAGTGGGGTACTGGTAGCTCATATCTGTAATAGCTACTGAGGAGGCTGAGATCTGAGGATCATGGTTCAAAGCCAGACCAGGTAGCAACATCCTTAAGACTGTTAGCTCCAGTGAACCACCAGAAAACTGAAAGGGGCACTGTGGCTCAAAGAGATAGTGCTAGCCTTTAGCAAAAGAGCTCAGGGACAGCACTCAGGCCCCATGAATGACAAACAGAAAAAGAAAAAAAGAAAAGATTTGTACTTAATTTTACCTATAAGCTTTCTTGCCTTAGGATAAATCTGAACTTATAATTTTGAGTTGCAAGTCCTGAATGACATCCAGGATGAACTCAATTCACTGTTATTGTCTTAGAAATTAAGGACAGTACATGGAACAGTGATGAGAATATCTGGAGCTACTTCTCTGTTTATGCATGCAGTGAATAACATTCCTAAAATAGAATAAAATGGTCTTCACTTGCTTGAATTGCCCATCCGAAAGTCAAATATCTTGTTAATAGTTGATTAATTAATGACAATATTCAATCAGTTATTAACTGCATTATATTATGTTGAAGTAAAAATAAAAGTATACCAAATTTGGAGTACTATTTCTCAAATATTTGTGACAAATTCTTCATTATTATTATTATTGTTTTGAAGTAGTTATAAAATGGAATTGCCATTTATCAAAACAGTTTATGAATACAATATATGTTGATCAATGTCAGGCCTTTCAACATTTTCACCTATCCCTCCCTCTCTCTTAATTTTATAGGAATATACAGAAGATTCTTGACTACATTCTCTCCCTTCTCTTTACTCTTTCATCAAGTTTTCTGTACATAAAAAATAACAAATTTCAGGAAAGAAACACTAAGTTGTGGTATGCAGTATATGTGCATGTGTGTGTGTGTGCTTATGTTGTTGTGCACTCTCAGAAAGTTCTATTGTTTTCTTCTTTTATTTTTTTCTTCCAGTAATAAGGCTTGAACATGGCCTGGGTACTGTCTCTTGGCTATTTTGCTCCAGACTAGCATTCTATCACTTGAGATACAACTCTACTTTCAGGTTTGTGTTGGTTAATTGGAGATAAGAGACTCGGACATTCCTGCCTGGAATGGCTTTGAACTGAAATCCTTAGATTTCCACCATTTAATAGCTAGGATTACAGATGTGAGTGGCTGGTGCCCATCTTGTTTGCGGTTCTTGACACTTGAATTTGTAATAGACTCATTGAGAGATTGTTATTCATAAGTGACGTTTAACATGCTGTTAGTTCTCTAATTAGTCTTAATTGAAGGCAGACGTTTCAAATTCATAATCATACTCTTAGGAAAAAGAAGGAAGTTTTGGAGATAATTTCCACAGTAGATGAGAAAATAAATACTTCCACCTGGAGGAAAACAAGGCCTGGATTTCCAGTTGTGACTTTGGTTGCACCCAGATCTGAAATACATTTCTTCATGTTTGTTGTAAATTTGAGCCCAGTTTCATTTTATTTATACTCTGGGCTCTGGGGATGAAATCTAAGGCCTGTGCATGCTAAACAGGAATTGTACCCAGAAAGCTACACCAGAAAGCCTTAAACATGGCTTTAAAATGGGCTTTGTAACTGCATTGAACTCAATGAACTATTTCATTGTTAGATCTCTTCATGTCTCAATCATCTTCATTTTCCTAAGAAACGATGATAGCATTTTCTCAATACTAGAAAACAAAACAAAACATCATTTTAGCACTGAAATGACAGGGTTAGGTTTTTCAAGAAGGCATGACTATCTGAAGGATTTTAAAAATCTTATTACTCACTTGGGTAAGTTAAGTGCCTCAAGTCCCAAAAGTCTGTATCACATTTGATCTAATGCTCATTGATTCTTCTGCCACAGGGTGAACTGACTATTCTTGGTGGCTAGAATCATTTGCTTCTTCTGCCCTCAATTGGGCCTTGGACCATCCAACTTGTGATCCATCATCACTCATTGTCTGATTGGCATTGAAGTACTTTTGCTGTGTTAGAATTGCAGCCTCATTCAAATTTCAGTCATAGCTCACAAAAATATTGGTCAATAAATATATGCTTTTCTCATGTAGGGAAAAGCACTGAGTGAGCATTTTCCCTTTAAACAACTAGTATATGTGTGTGAACTACTATGTGTTTGCATATGGCTTCACCACTTATTTTCACCTCCTTATTTTTTTTAAATTGGTATGGTTACTGGCAATTGAACTCAGGATCCAGTGTTATACCTCAGAATTTTTGGTTAAAGCTGATGGCTCTATCTACCACTTGAATGACAGTTCCACTTCTAAATTTTTTTGGTGGCTAATTGGAGATAAGAGTTTTACAGACTTTCTTGCCCAGACTGGATTTGAAGCTCAATCCTTGAATCTCAACCTGACAAATACCTTAGCACCCACTATGCTTGCTTGCTCAGCTGGTGCTCTATCATTCATGCTATGAATTCAGCCCAATGTCCTCTAGTTAGTCAGAGACAGAATATCAAGTACTTTTCTTCTGGGACTGGCTTTAAATGTAATCTTCCAGATCTCAGCTTCCAGAGGAGGTAGAATTATAGCCATAAACTACTGATATTCTGCAAAATCTGTACCTTTTTTGTGTGTGGTTACAGGGTTTGAACTCAAGTCCTCAAGTTTTTCAAACAAGTAATCTGTTATGGCTGTGTTTAGTCATTACCTTGCAATATTTACCTTACTTTCATGCATAGTCCAAATTGCATCCCATGAGTCATGTTTTCCATTCACACTTATGATTCCCAGCTTTTGTTTATTTATTGCTGCAAATGTTATCATATCTTTTTGCTTCTAGTTGTGTTTAATCCTTTTGAGCCTTAGACTGAGGTTAATGAATTGGTAGTACCATGAAACATATTCTAGTATTGTTCAGTGATGTGTGAATGTGAAAATAGATTATGGAAGAGAAATGACACTAAGCTAAATTAAGTCTGCATGGATCGATTCACTTACTAGGCATGCTTATTGTTACTGTTAGATGAAAAATTAAGTGTGCACCTAATAGACTCAGTAATGCAGATAAATAATGAAATGTTTTAAAAATAAAAATGGAAAACTACATGATAAACAAAATATTGACCTGTGAAGTTCTTGCTGGGGATGCAATATGGGTATGTAAGTCACTGACAGATATCATTAAATCTCCAGCTAGAGCTCATCACGGGACATACCTGCACACTGAGTAATGGTGATAAGTCAGATTGCTTCTGCCTTTTCTTATGAAACTGCCAGATGAATTGAAAATCACTTAATGGGAACTTGGGAGTTACATGGATATTGCACTCAAAGAAAATCTATTGAGCCAAACTGACCTATTTCATGCTCATATTGTATAATTGGAAAGATACATGAGTGTGATTTGCTATGATAATAGTGTTTATGCAATCTCTTCATTAACTGCAAAGCTGTGTCCACACAGAAGCTGTGGTCATTAAACTTAATAAGGAATTCTCTGCACTCTATTTTTCTTCCATTTGTAGAGATAATTATTTCTAAAATTACATTATTCAAAATGCCATCATAATATAAGTAGACTATTTCATTTCCATTATCACACATAATCATGCAAATTAGAAAATTAAATGATATAGTTGTATTATTTTAAGGATTTTTTTAAAGATACATTAGTTGTGCAAAGGATATTTTATTTTGAGACTTCCATGCATGCATACCTGGATCAATCTTCTGCCTTCATCTCTCTCCCCCATTCCTCTCTCCTCTTCTCTTTTACTTTCATGTGCTCATGGCAAAACAATATGAGTTTAATGGTGATAATGACTTTATCTCTGTAACTTTAAACTAGTATATATTCTGGTTTGTGGTATATAACTTTTGTCAAAATATGTTTCAGCATGTTAAAAAATTAGTAATAAATCATGCACTTCAAATTTAAGCTTTAGGCTTCCTATATCAAAGACAAAAATTCTTTCCATATCATATGAAATGTTTATGATGGCTAAGCCAATGAAATCAATGGAGAGATTATGTATGAAATGTAGTTAGTATGCCAGGAAAAGATGAAAGGAAATACTACATGGCATAAAACTCCCATAGTTGAAAAAAACATGAGGTTCTCTTTTCATCATTCCCTACATTTTAATAAGAGCTAAAGTGCTTGCCTGCTTTATTGAAACAAGATCATGGGTTAAGAATCACCAAGATGGATCTACCCACTCTAATCCCCACCCAGCTTCACTTAGAAGTTTTAAACGTGAGACCCATTAAACATGAAAGGTCTGCAATAGTGGTTTGGGTATTGAAATATAAAATTACACAAACAACACTGATCACCTTAAAAATAGATCTCAAGAACAAGAACCAAGTCAACTGAAGAAAAAATATAAAGACATTAACATACTCTGTATGGTTAACATTTGGGAAAGGAATTATTTTAAATCTGTTTTTAGCTAGCAGTCATAATGATAAGTTGGGCTATTTCAAAGACATATTAGCCCCTGAGGGACAAAAAAGATAAAAGAATCATTGATTCTTTTTTTTAAAATTGATTTCTTAAAAAAATCCACAGTATTCTGGAAAGTCAGTGAGAAAGATTTAGCTGGGTAAATCTCTGGCTCTTCTTTGAATGATTAAATTTCAAAACTCTACTATTTACGTGACTGATGATTGGGGAACAAAAACTCGGACTCACTATCTGCAGGCAGATAAAATAACTATACTATAAGGGTGGATTTTGGTTTTTCATAGAAACATATCCATGAACTTGAGGGAGAGGTTTTAACAACTCAAATCTTAAAAGACGCTGTTTGGGGCTGGGAAGGTGGCTCAGTGGTAGAGTGCTTGCCTTGCATGCATGAGGCCCTTGGTTCGATTCCTCACCACATAAGCAAAAAGAAAAAAAGCTGGAAGTGGCACTGTGGCTCAAGTGGTAGAGTGCTAACCTTGAGCTGAAGAGCTGAGGGACAGCGCCCAGGTCCAGAGTTCAAGCCCCAGGACCGGACCCAAACAAAAACAAAAACAACAACAACAACAAAAAACACTTGGTAAAAAACACTTGGCAGGTTTGGAGAAAATATAGAAATCTGTCCCTAATTAGTAATGTTATGACAGAAACGAAACACATGGGTGACAATATAAATTATTAATGTGGCTCTTGTGGAAGAAATAATTCTTGATGAATCACAAATAGGCTTCTGTGTAGATAGTTACAAAGGTGGGGCTTAAGTGAAACACAGCTTCAAATAAGGGTGAAGTTCATTGTCAATCCATTCTCTCTGATTTCTGAGAAGACACATGAGTTTATAATCCATTAGAAGGAATCCACACTCTGAGGAATGATTTCACCTTTTAGGGAGGGGAGAGGAAAGAAACATGTCTCAGTATAAATGATGAACAATAATCATATCTGATAATTTTAAGAACTTCATAAGAACGTTAGATTTAAATATATGCCTAAAATACAGTGTGACTTTAATGATTCAAGGATTCATTTGCTTTGGTCACATAATTGTTTATGTTTAGTTGAGGGCAATCATATAAGGAAAGCTCACATGCTTTTCAACCAGAGTTACCCACTGTTGATATCTTAGTTAACTTATATATGCTACTACCATAGGACCTTGATATTAACATTATCCATTGACCTTGTTCAAATCTCATCAGTTTCACATGCATCTATACATATTTTTGTGTGTGCATATGCCATTTTTACAATTTTATCACATGTTGATTGGTGAACCCACCCATCACCCAATTCCATGACAAGGATCCCTTGTGCTGCTGTGCATAGGCCTTAGCCTCCTCCCATCTATCATCCCTCATCTCTTCATCAAGCTTATCATCATTTTTAGATGTTAGTTAGGTAGAATCTTGAAGTATGTAACCTTTTGGGATTGACTTCTATTTACTTAACAAAGCTCCTTGAGACCTATCCAGTTTTGTTCGCATAAAGTACACTTGGCCCTTCATTTCCTTGGGCACTGTCTGAGGTCTAACCCACTGTGGAAAAAAAATCCCAGAAAAATGCATCTTATTATTATTCCCTAAAAAATACAGCACAGATATTTATACAACATTTACATATTGTATTATTACTATAAGTCATCGAGAACAAAAAATATGGGAGGGTGATAAGAAGTTTTGAATAGATATTGTGTTATTTTATTTTATTTTTTGGGGGGTCTGGTTGTGGGGCCTGAACTCTGGGCCTGGGCCCTGTCCCTCAGCTCTTCAGCTCAAGGCTAGCGCTCTACCACTTGAGCCACAGGCCACTTCCAGCTTTTTTCTTTTTGCTTATGTGGTGCTGAGGAATCGAACCCAGGGTCTCAGGCATGCAAGGCAAGCGCTCTACCACTGAGCCACCTTTCCAGCCCCTATTGTGTTATTTTATATATTATTTGAGCACCCCAGATTTTGTTATCCACAGGGTGTCCTACTATGGTTTCCTCCTTTTCACTGCTGCATGGTATTTTATTGTATCAGTACACTCGTGTTTCTTTAGTTATTTCTTTGTTTTAGGACATCTGGGTAGTTCGTGTGGTTTAGCAAGTAAAATTGTTGAAAATATTCATATATTCTTATACATAAAATAAAATGTGACCATACATTTCTATTTCTCTGGGATAGCCAGAGGGAAATTGCTGACTCATAGGATAACTGTAAGAAACTATCAAACTATTTTTAGAATGAATATATTGTCTCATCTCCCTGCCTGTCAATGATGTGAATGCTACAGTTTTATTTTTCACATACAACTTTAACTTTGAGTAGTATCAGATTTTGTTTTTTATTTTAATAATCAGATATATGATAATGTTTGATTTGCATTTTCCAAATGTTAATGATGTTGACCATATTTTTCATATGCTCAAGTGCTAGAGAACTATCTCTTTAAGCCATTTTTCCATTTTGTAATTATTATTGTACTGTTGAGAATTGTTCATGTATTCTAGACACACATATTTTGTTGAAAACATGGGAGTTGCAAATGTTTTCTGACTATCCATAGTTTGTCTTTTCATTCTTTTAGAAGAAACTTTTATAGAAAAGAGACTAATTATTATAATATAATTCAATATGTTTTTCTTTTAGGATTGTGCTTTGGAAATCAAGTCTGAGAACTTATCACCAAGCTCTATGTCACATTACTTAATTTTTTTGTCATGTGTTTGTGTCTTATATTGAACTCTGTCATTTTTTGGGTTAAATTCACAAATCTCCACCAGGACTCCTTAAGTGTATAAAGATGTTTCTGGGAGAGGTAAAATTAAAACTAATCCCTAGGTTCTTGACTTCATTGCAGAAAAGAATTTCAGGATGAGTCAAGAATAAGAGAATTGGGGGGGGGGGGGGAGATAGCTGGGCGCCAGTAGCTCACACTTGTAATCCTAGCTACTCATGGGGCTGAGATCTGAGGATTATGGTTCAAAGCAACCCCAGGCAAGAAAGTCCATAAAACTCTTATCTCTAATTAACCACCAGAAAACCGGAAGTGGTACTGTGGCTCAAATAGTAGAGTGCTAGCCTTGAACTGAAGAGCTGAGGGACAGCGCCCAGGCCCAGAGTTCAAGACCCACAACCGAGAAAAAGAAAAAAGAAAAAAGAATAAGAGGATCACAAACTTTATTACCAAGCTAGCCAAGCACAGGATACAATACATTCAAGAAGAGTGTGAACTGGAAAGATGTGTTATGTTTATATCCTATGTAGGCATTTCTTTGAATATAGCCATGGCTTAACAGGGTCTTATTCTATAGTTTTACCATTCCATTCAACAGAATGTCTTAGTAATTGGCTATGCTCATATTCCTGCATGGAATCTTGTATTTTTGGAGCCATTAAGTCTGAGACTCCCAGAAGCAATCTTCTTATTGACACCTCAGATATTACCATATTTGAGGGTCTCACATGCTATTGCTTGGGAAACACTGATGTTTGTGAGCTACTTAAAACCGTTAAAGGGTGGTAGAAAAAGAAATCGAGTGAAGGTAATGTTTGTAGCATGTCTCTATAGCCTGGAACCTGAAAAACAGGCAAAAAAATGTGTTTAAATGTTTTAATAGCCATTATATATGTGTGATCATCAAAATAGCTTTCTTCTCCTATACTTTCTATAAAAACGTGCTTAAAAATGAGTGTTTTTCATTTTCCTTATGCCTGCTCGAGCACCATTTTCTTGAAAGGCTATCAGTTTTACACCCAATTGTGCAGATTTGTCAAAACTCAGTAATACTTCTATAGGTTTATTTCTCTATTCTCTATTTAATTCCACCTGTCAAAGTATCTACCTCTTTGTCAATGCAAGTGTCTTGATGACTTGTTAAGGAGCTGGAACAGAGATTGTTCCCATATTATTCTTTGTCAAATTGCTTTAACTATATGAGGTCAATATTCCATGTTTTCTCATATGTTTTTAAATAAATTTGTCTAATTATGCCGGTATTAAAACTCTAGGTCAATGTGCAAATTGTTGATACTTTTTACTTAGTTGAGAAATACTATGCATGGACATAGGTTTTCTCCATATCTTTTAGTCTTTTTAAATTTCTTTCATCTGAACTTTGTAAATTCAGTATACAGATTGTGTACATGTTTGTTAAATTTATGCCTATTGTAATTTTGTGAACAACCATAAATGGTAGTTTCTCCTCAGTTTTGATTCCCATATATTCATTGTAATTATATGGAAATGCAACAAAAATTAAAATTAACCTTTTTATTAAATAATTTCAGATTACAGAGTGCTAAAGACCATGAGATTCTATATATTTCATACCCAACTGTATTTACCTCCAATATGCCACATCAATACATCACAGATTTATAACCAAAGAAACCAAGCAAAATCCTTATTTAACCCTGATTTCCTTAATTTCATCCCAATGTTACTTCTATGCTCCAGACTATATGTAGTTATCATGTCTCACTAGAGACTTTGATAACAGTTTCTTAGACATTTTTGCTTCAATGATGTGACAATTCATGTTAATACTGGCCCTTAGTAATATAAATGATTGAAGTAATAAATAGCAAGTGAATAAAGAAGAAAATACACAGTACCCTACACAGAAGAAACACAAATAATTTATGTTGGTGCTTGCATTAATCATGTTCCTTATTTTATCTATATTGCAATGTTTTGATACTTAGATTCTTACTCCTGAAAAACTCTCCCCTCCCAGGGTTAGCTAATTCCCACAGAACTGACTGAGCAAACACTTCGTATATATAAAGCAACAAATCCAATATGTCCCCATTTCCTCCTTAATCTAACTCTTATATACCTATACCAAGCCAATTTTTTTTCTTATTTAAATCCTCTCAGGACCAGGCACTTGATTATTAGTGACCATACTTACAGCCAAAACTATAAAATGTAGTCAGTAATGCCAGTGTGCTTACCCTACCTTGCCGTACCCTTCCAATACCAATACTGGTATTGGTTCCAATATTAGTGTTTTTCTGCCTCCTCATGACCCTGCTCTTTCTCCTGCAGCCTACATGGTACGGTATATCTTCTTGTGGAAAATGTGAGGGATGGCCTCTTTTCAAAGAGTATGTCATTCTACATCTGATAAAGACAATCTGTAAACAATTAATAATAAGCTTTTAACACACACACACACACACACACACACACACACACACATACACCATAATGTGTTTTCAATACATATCTATGCATGTTTTATATGTGTATATATGTGTGTGTGTATATACAAAGTTATACAACTTAAATAAAACAATTTGTATTTTTCAGTTATATCTCATTTGAATACAAAAATAACATATGCAAATATTAAAAATGAGAGATACACATTTCCTTTTTCTTTTTGGTGCTGGTACTGGGCCTTGAACTCACTTCTTCCTCTCATTCAGCTTCTTTTCTCATAGCTGGTGTGTTACTGTCACCAATTCTAAGTAGTAGTTTGTGAAGTTTTCCTCAAGAAATATGGGCCCTACACTTAGATATTTTGTTGCAGGCCCTTGACTTCGGCTGTAGAATAGCCATTTCCAGATAAGTCACATTGGTAAGAAAACTTGGTGGAGCTTTATCAAGTAAGGAAGTAGGCAATCAGACAAGCATAAAGACAGAGGCACATGCTAACAGAGTGTGGGTGCTCAAAGGGAGATACAGTGAGCTCTTTTGACATCAGAGGCATAGATAGTAAAAGGTAGAGTCATAGGTTCAGTGATTTTCTTTGTTCTCACATATGGAATATTTAGCAACTCTTTGTGGTATACTTTTATCATTCGAGTTCAGGGTCTCTAAGACTGATCTGCTCATTAAATTTTGATCATTATGCTTGGGCATCCTTTCAAGGAAAGGATGCATTCTGCCTACATTTTTAAGCCAGATGTTCATCTTTGAAATAAGTACTTTGTGTCAGGAGTCATGTTTTTTCCCAAGTATTTGCTTTTCCAGGATATACTTTTTTATGATTTCCTTGCTCAGTTTTCAGAGTACACTAAATATTTTGGGTCAGCAGGCAAGGTCAGAGGGAGAAAGCTGCTCTTGTTCCTCTCTTTTTCCTTGCACTAATACTGCAGCTTATGAAGGAGTATAAAGTGCCCTCCATCTTGTATATACACTTCTCTAATTTGGGGAAGGGAAGGGAAAAAACAAAATCCTTAAATGAGGATACAGGTTGACCCATTGTAACAATGAGATGTGCAAAACACTATGTTGAAAACAAAATTTACAGCTTCGGTGGGGGGGTAGTTGTAGAGGTGGGGAGGGAAGGGATGGTAGGGAGAAAACAAAGGAGGAGACAACTGCTCAATAGGAAATGTACTCATTACCTTGCTCATGTAACTGCAACCCTTCTGTACAGCATTTTTTCCAATAAAAATGTACAAAAAAAGAGTTCAAACAAAAAAAGGTAGTGCTTTTGGGTTTCTAAATACAATGCTTGTTTTGAATTCCTGGCTGCTGTTTTCTGTGCCTCATTTTCCCAAATCTATCTTGCCTTATTATCATGTGAGCCATACCTCCACTTCCAGCTTTTTGCTAGTTAACTGAAAGTAAGAATCTCTGAGATTTATCTGTGGGGCTGGCTTCAAACTGCAGTCATCAGCTCTCAGCCTCAGAGTAGCTAATATTACAGTTGCGATCAGAGCCTGATAAGATATACATTACTTAACCATATTTATGTAACATACTATCTGTGGTGGTAAATTTTATGTGTCAACTTTACTAGATCATGACATGACTGGATATTTGCTTACACCTGCAATCTAGCTTCTTAAGAAAATAATAATATTAAGAGAGCTGAGATTAGAGTCCAACCCTGGCATACATACAAGACCTCCTCTGTCTAATATATGGGTTCTCTGGTGTGTATGTGCCATGCTAGCTGCAGCAGAAAGTAAAAAGTAGGAGGATTTTCATACAAGTCAACACTGGAGCAGGAAGAGGGACCCTTAACATGAATGGTTGCAAAAAAGAGCTGGAAACATGGTTCCTGCCAGCCAGCAAGGGGCTCCAAAATAAACCTAAACAGCAAGGTAAAACAAGGCATAACATCATTGTAAGTATGTTGAGAAGAATGCTTTTGGATGTGTTTAACATTTAAATCAATAGTCTGAGCAAAACAAAATATGGTGAGCCCAAAGCAATTAGTTGAAGGCTTGAATCAAACAAAAAGCTAATCTCTAAAAATTTATTTTTTATTTTTTTTGAATATCCATACTTTAATTTTTATTGTGAAAATACTGTACAGAGGGGTTACAATTACATGGGCAAGATAATGAGTACATTTCTTATCAAGCATTGTTGCCTCCTCCTTTGTTTCCCCTTCCCATCTCCCTTCCCATTCTCCCCCTGCTCCCCCATCCAATCTTCCCCCTCTCCCCTCCCCACCCCCGCACCAAAGTTGTAAAGTTCGTTTTCAACATAACAACTTGTACATCTCATTGTTGCAATGGGTCCACCTGTATCCCTATTTAAACAATTTGTTTTTCCCCTTCCCTTCCACAAATTATACCAACATGAAATACAGTGAAATCAGGGGTTATACTGTGGGGAGGGACATACAAAGCAACAAAGAAATAATCTTATAAATGTGTTAGAAAAAAAACATTTGAATACATATCTTAGGGTTCATTTCCCTAACATCACCTTATCTGACCTTTTCTGCTTGACTCAGACATCCATTTCAGAGATGCAAAACTAGTTCGATATGTGCAAATCAATTAATATTATTCACCACATCAACAGGAGCAAGAATAAGAACCACATGGTTATCTCAATAGATGCAGAAAAAGAATTTGACAAGATCCAACACCCCTTTATGATGAAGGTTCTGGAAAAATTAGGAATCCATGGAACATTCCTCAATACAATAAAGGCTGTATATGACAAACCTACAGCCAGCATTATATTTAATGGTGAAAAACTAAAGCCATTTCCTCTTAACTCAGGCACAAGACAAGGATGTCCACTCTCTGCACTTCTCTTCAATCTAGTATTAGAATGCCTAGCTACAGCAATAAGACAAGATGCAAACATAAAGGGGATCCAAAGAGGGAAAGATGAAGTAAAACTCTCCCTCTTTGCAAATGACATGATCTTGTATTGAAAGAATCTCATAGACTCCACTCCCAAATTACTCAAGCTGATTCAAAACTTTGGCAAAGTAGCAGGGTATAAAATTAAACCTCAAAAATCAATGGCTTTTCTGTATGCCAACAATGAGAAAAGTGGGGCTGAAATTAGGAAAGCAACTCCATTTGTAATAGCCCCACAAAAAATAAAGTACCTAGGAATTAACCAAAGAAGTGAAGGACCTCTATGATGAAAACTTTAAAATCTTGAAAAAGGAAATCACAACAGAACTTAGAAAGTGGCTAATCTCTAAAAATAAGAGAGAATTCGTGCAAGTGAAGACTTGAGCCTGGAATACCTTCTTTTATTGTCTTGGGTCCCAAATTGGGACTTGGACACTACTGATTTTTGAATTATTCAAAACTCACTCATACCACCCTTCACAATCACCTGAGCCATTTCACTGTGGAAGCCTCTTTACAACATTCTTTCCTGGTTCTGCTTATCTGCATTATTCTGGCTTATACATTGCCCCTATACTCATTACAGAGGCTTTGTATGTCTCTCACCTTCAGATTTACAACTTGCTTGTAGTTGACTTTTAATCAGGAAGTATCAGCTTTTGTGCAAGAAATCTGTTCCTTCATTTTCTGGAAGGAAACATGAGAAACTGAAGAAATCATATCATGGAATTAGACTGATTTTTAATGAGAAGGAAAGAACCAGACTTGTAACCCTATGTGGATTATGCAAGGTATACCTTGTAGGTAAAACATGCTCAAAATCTGTCTTGTACCAAATAGACATAAAAATCCATTTTGTAGGATATCAGGAAAGATCGAGATTTAAAAATGTGACAGGAGTCTTTCAGAGAGGAAACATTACCATTGTCATCTTTCCCATCATAGCAAAGATGAAAATTAGAAGACATTTTTTTCTTGCTGAGAGTAATTACCCTAACTCCAAAATGCCACTTGGATGGCCCTGACTGACAGCATGATCGTAAGTAGTTATACTAGGTTTTTATTAATAACCTGATGCAGAAAATGCATTTTGAGCAAGGCCAAGTAATAAGCTCTGGAGGAGCAAAGAAGCTCTTTGTATGGCTCCCGTGATTTCCAATAGGCAAAACTAATTACATCAAGTCTGGCTCAGGTTCAATTTGCTTATTCTGTGGCATGATGTGGTGTTAAGGGACCCATTGGTACAAACCTGTAAACACTTAGTGTGCCTGGTGGACTTTCAAAGTCAATATCTTAATGATTCAAAGCATAACACAGAAGACTTTTACAATATGATCTGAGAGTACAAAGGCACTTTAGTACCCTACAAATGAACAATTCTTCTCTTCATTACATCATGGAGGAAAAGAATAGAATTGTCTAGTGACCTAGAAGCGACAACTACATCTGTGAGTCTAGCCTAATCAAATATCCCAGTTTTGTAAAACAAATTTGCAATCAACAGGAGAATGGAAAAGACATATAAATAAATATTAATTTTCAGCTGGCTGATACCTCAGTGTTTCATTGTGTTTTAAAAGTGTGTTGTTTATCCAGTATTGCTTAAAGAGGGATTGTCACAAAACACAAAGATATTGATGAATATTACTAGCAGCCTGGAAAAATTTAGAGATGCCATTAAGTAGAATTGAATTGAAGTTCAGTA